TGGTTGCGCCACTGATAAAATGTAATCGTCGATTTTTCATGAGACAGCTCAGTGACGTGATCAAGATTTCAGATGCCGTAGGTTAGAAGTTACCTAATGTTCTCTCGGCTATTTCATATATTCCCTCATGGTAGCTTTTCTAGAATCTGATACTATACATACCTATTACACGTTAGATGCCGAGGTTTTGAAGCAGTCAGGGACGAATAGGAAACTGACCAATGTTGCAGAACAGGTGTGTAAATGCTAGCTGTCAGTCTTCGAGTGATCCTCTGGACCACCTCCAAGTTTTCCATGGGTATCACATTTCGTTTCCTTCCCATTCCTAGACTAACTTGTGAGATCATTTATATGGGCACATTTCCAAGTATGTTATTCTTTTGTTACAGGTTGCTAAAGACTTTATTTCAGAATCCAATTTTCTAAAGTTTCTACATTTCCAGGCTAGAAAGTTGCGTCCCAGAATGCAAGCGATGTACGATGTATTGTCAGAAACTAATAATTGTAAGTTTTCGCGAGAATTTGTATGTTCAGAAATTTTGAATATGACTCAAGTAAGGTCCGGACTGCTCTGGCCATAGTGGCGAAGACAATACTGCAGCTGAGGAAATGTTCATGTCTTTCCTTCAAAACTCTTCTCTTGATCCGATCTCCGACGTAGCTCCATGTGTAAGTTATAAAAAATTGTTTGAATACACTTATTATCATATTTAGGCCTATGATGGCTTTATTGCGAATCTTCATAGCTTCCTTGTACAGTGTACGAACTCTTGTTTGGAAAAGGGTGTTCTGTATTCTGCAAATACTCCCATTCTACGGTTTCCTAAGCGCACATCTCCGATGAAGGCTAGGAGTTCCGACAAGTAGGAAAATCTCGTTTGATCAGTAATCATTTTGTGAATTGAAAAATTTCAGCAAAAACTGCCTTTTTGCAAGTACTGAGGAGAACCTACGCACAGTTTCGCAACACCTTGATAATGTAATTTTACTAAAACTAGAAAATTGAAATTGTATTTATCTTTCTGATATGTTCAGATACTTTTTCCGGTACTAGCAGGTGATGATATGGTTGTGTGCGGCTCAGAACAGAGGAAAGAAACAGTTGTTGATTTTGTTGACAAAAT